ACAAGAACCACTTGGCCTAGTGGTTGCCACGTTTGTTTCCCAGGCATATGGGGCTGGAGGTCAGGGGTTCGATCCCTACCTCCAGCATTTGCTATTTTTCTTAACAATTTCAGTTAATCCAGTATACGCGTATGCCAAGGGATCACCATACTCCCTCACCAATCCACACGCCAAATGGCCAGATCTGGTGGTCATCATCAAGGGTCCACCAAAGGGCAGGTCAATGCAGGAACACTGGATCCCAGAAAGTCAAGTGGGTCAGCTTAATGGGCCAACAAAAATGCTTTCTGCACCCTCCAAAAAAGGCCCAATTGCTCTACTTTTCCTTATTTTGTTTATTTAATTTAATTTCTTTATTTTATTTAATTTATTTTCTAACCAATGACAAATTTTCTTTTTTTCAAAAAATCACAAAAAACATTTTTTGTCCAAATAAAAATTCAGAACTTTATTTTTCTTTAATAAATTTTGATTAATTAGTTAGGTTTTTAATTCTAGAATAACCTTAATTTATTTTTGTAAATAAATAAAATCAATTAGAAATCATTAGGTTTTAATTCATTTAATTATTTTAATTTCTTTCTTAAAATATCAAAAACTCCAAAAAATATGTCATTAATTATTTTTCATTAATTAATTAATTTAATAATTAATTTAGTATTTAATTTTAGGATTAATTTCTTTTCTTAAAAAACAACAAAAAAAAGCATTTTCTTTAAAAAGGGTCAAAACCCTAATTGTGCATCCGATTTAATTTTGCGTTGCGCTTTATTTTTCTTTATCCATATTGATGTATCTGCTTCCGGTATGTAATAGATAATTAGGACCTTTTATTTATTTTACCGCTTTATTTTATTTTCAAAGGGTTGTTTTTGGCGATGTAAATACCCGACGCCTTGTAATTTAATTTCCGCATTTTAATTCCGCACATTATATAACTGCTAGATGTTTGATAATAGGGTTTGCATGACAAGACTGAATGTTTAATCTTAAAATCAAATTAGATCACCCTTAACATGTGCAAAGATAAAAATAACTGAAATCAACACACTCGCACATGCACACTCCTAGGGTACTCCCCACTTGGTTGCCTTCGTACACGGTTGTTGTACCCCAAAATTTTCCCTCCCATATTCTTCAAGATTTGCCAAAGTCAAGATTCAAAATCTCCCAAAGGTTGCACAGTCTAATGGCCTCCTAACAGTCAAAAAGTAGGGTTTTGGTTCTGGTAAAGAAATTGAAGTTTCCAAGGGTCCAAACAAGTTCCACATGCCTATAAACATTGTCAAGCATCCTTATGTCAAGTTTCAAGACTCACAACACAAAATTGCACAGTAAAAAACCCTAATTGCTCAACAGTCAACTGTAGGGGCAAAATGGTCATTTGACAGTCAAAAGTAAAAAATTTTGGTCAACATCTTATTTTGAAGCCACAAACATCATTTGATCAATTCTTGATCATGATTCTCAAGGCATGGCTCAAAAAGTCTCAAGATGCAAAAGTTTCTATTTTTGGACAGTTGAAAAAGTCAACTGCAAATTGACCAGGGCATAACTTCCACATGGTTTATCAGAAAAATTCTATCCAAATCTCATTTTGAAGAGAATGACATTTCCTACAACTCATCTTCACACTTCAAGTCCAAGAAATGCTCTCACAAAAAGTTATCAATCTCAACATTATAGGTCATTTTCAAAAGTCAACAAAAAGGCACTTTAAGTCAAAGACCATAACTTGAGATTGGTAAATCAAAATGACATGGGACCAAAGGCATTGGTTAGAGGACTTCAATACCTTTCCAAAATTTCCAAGACCATGATCAAAGCTTAAAAATTGAGCAAGATATGCCTTGTAGAAGTTGGGAAATTTTTGGGAATTTTGAAAAGTCAACTTTGCTTCAAATGTCTCAAAATTGCTAATGGGCCTCAATTTCTTCCATGAATCATCACCCAAAGGCTATGCACGACCCATTGACATCCAAGGGAGTTATTTTATCATTTTTGATTAATTATTTGAATTATTATTATTATTAATTCACTTAATTAAAATTAAATATGACAAAAATAGCAAATCATGTTTTCCAAATCTTTTTGTGCAGCATATTCACTCATCATGACCTAGATATTTCATGTACCACATCAAGAGGCAAGATCTTCCAAAATAGGCAAGTTCCATGGCAAGAAAAGATTAAAAAAGATCATGAAAATCAAATATTGAAAATCATTGAATACAAGGCTTTGGGCTTGATTTTTCTGACCTAATCCATTCACATACATAAGCACAACAAAGACCTAAGGCCAAGGACAAGAAAGCTGCGCTGAGAACAAAGAACAACATTGCAATTTTTGACCAAAAATTTGGAAACTGAAAACTGAATTGCAAGGTGTTTCAAGGCCTCAAGACCATTCCAATCCACTCCCTACATTACCAGGGAGCTTTTCCAATCAAAATCACGCCTCCATACTCAAAGAATTGGTAGATAGAAGCCTGACTTTTCTTTAAAATTTTGATATTCGTGTTTCACTTTTCATGCATGATTACTGTGTTTTAATTATTGGTTTATATTAATATGAATATGCTGAAGCTATTGGTGCCTTCTAATTGAACTAATGTTGCCTGTATGAGAAGTTGCCATGGAAGCTTTTTAGGGTTTCAAAGTTCCAGATTTGGGGTTTTACGCATGAGGAAAAATTGGCCAACCAAAATAGTACCATTGAAATCAGGACCTTCCAACGAATAAAAACCAACCATCGCGCCCTTTTTCTTTTTCACTATATCCTAATCGCTATTTTTCAGGTTTAGGGTTAGTGGGGGTTTAAAACCCCCGCTATCCATTGTTTATTTTCAGGCAAAACAAAGAAGCAAGGAGAGAGACGCTGAGGTGTTGAACGGTGACTGGACATTTTAAACATTGGCGCGTCTTTTGTTTATTCCAGCATGATATTGATTTTTCTATTATATTGATCATGTTCTATTAGACTAACAAAGAAACGCTTTGGTTGGATTGGTAGCTTAGCTGTCATGCAGGTACTGGGACCTGGGTTCGATTCCCAGGTCCCCCTCTTCCTCTATAATTTTGTCCATAACGTGCTTCTGTCACTAGTGCAGAAATGACTTTTTACATCGGGTGAAACTGACTTTTTACATCGGTTCTGGGTCCGATGTAAAGTCAGGCGATATAGTAAATCAGGGACTTTTTACATCGGTTCTGGGACCGATGTAAAAAGTCTCTTTTTTACATCGGTTATAATATAAGAACCGATGTAATAAACTGTTATTATGCACATTTTTTAAAAAATTGATCCAGTTTTTTACATCGGTTGTAAGTAATACCCGATGTAAAAAGTCCCTTTTTTACATCGGTTATAATATATGAACCGATGTAAGAAACAATTATTATGCACATTTTTAAAAAAAATTGATCCAGTTTTTTACATCGGTTGGAAGTAATACCCGATGTAAAAAGTCGCCAGTGACGCAACTTTTTACATCGGTTATTATCTCCAACCGATGTAAAAAGTCCCTTTTTGAAAGTTTTTACATCAGTTTTTACTAATAACCGATGTAAAATGTATGAAATTTTTTTGGAATAGATTATTTATTTTCTGGATGTTTCCCTGTACAAATATAATTTGTACCCATTTTTTCATATTTTTCCAATATCACACAGACTATATTTATGTCGCTATATAGATTTCATAGCTTTCCAACATCACATATATCACATCTAGGTCGATGTTTTCATATTTTTCACAACAAACTTACAAATTGAACAATTGTATTGCAAACTTGTATTGTATTACAACAAACAAACTTACAATTACAAATTCTTCACAAAATATACAACAATATTCAACTATTTATAAGTCTTTTTTCAAAACTTACAATTACATATTATTCACAAAATATACAAAAATATTCAACTATTTATAAGTTTCCAAACTTAAATTACCAATATAAAATCTTCGGTAGACAACACCAAAATCACATTGCCTGACAATAAATAATAACAATTAACATCAGCAAAAAAATCAAGAAACTCAAATGTGCAAAAACCATATGTATTGTGCAAAAACCACAACTTATACAATTCTATAAAACTCACCAAGATAAACTTAATTTGCATGTAACTCAAAGAAACATTTTGCCCAACGAAGTCGCAAATCATACAAATCATCTTGTGTTAATTCTGTTGGGTCATCAAATACCTATAATACATAAATATAACAATATAGAGTTAATTTTTAAAAATTCATATTAAGTCGAAAAATAAAAAGTAAATAACAAAGTAAAGTTATTTTTAGTACCTGCATCTAATTCTCGGTTATATTAGCAGAGACAATATCCAACATATTTTTCATCACATAGTATCCACAATCATTAGAGTTATGTTGTTGCCTTGTCTACAATTGAATGACATAATTAGTGAATACTTATCATAAATTTAACTATATAATTACAATTTACATCACACTTACATTGGGATGAAGCCATGTAGCCTTTTTTCTATTTCCATTTGCCATTTGATGAATCCCAAAAGAACTAATACAGAAAGATAAACATCACATAGCTAAATTTACTCGCCAATGAAAAATTACATAACTATTAGTTGTCAATGAAAGTCACATGAAAGATAAAGTCCTAGAAGTATGAAGTTTAGACACACAAATTGGCACATTGATCGGGAAAGTACAAGTAAAAAGTCAGGACCAAAAGACTTCATTTTTTGTAGCAATTCTGTCATTTTTCTCTCAAGTTTGGTTCACCTATAATCTAATGTCCATTTCTCAAACGATCAATCGAAAAAGTTATAGCAACCAGCACGACTAAGAGTTCTTCATTCTCCACCTTTTTTTTGTTTATCCAAGGAGTGATTCGTATCAGTATTGGACACTTGCACCGACAATTGTGATTTCGTTTAATTAATTTATTTTTTTCAAGTTAGTACTGGTGTCACTGTGTCAGGGTCAAATTTGAGGTGTCGGTGCTTCATAGAGTACTATCGGTTTTGACCTAAAAGTGCGAGAAGAAAAGCCCTGTAGTTGCCGAATGTTTCTGAGTGAACTGCATCATTTAGTGTCTTCTTATATTTCTTTAAATATTCAGCTTTGATATAATGTAGATCAATCTCACTTCTTGTTACAATCACCCTGATAAGTTTTGTGTCATCGGTCCCTAACCCTTTCATTGCCTTACATAGTACCTGCATAAATGGTGGCAAAACTTAAGACGTGCTTATCTCTTAATTATATTGGCTATAAGAAATTTTAAAAGAATCTCTCAATGCTTAAATAACCAATTACCACATAATTTTGTGCTAACGTACTAACAGATCTTTCAATGAAAAAAAGGAATGTCACTAATATATTTCAGCATGTTGTGGTAGTACACACAAAATACATTCAAATAAAACTAAGGAAGACTAAAGCAGAATTTGAAAATAAAAGGTTTTTTTCCCAGTAAGTCACAACAAAACACACAAACAAATTAAGAATACTAGTTTCAAAGCAACCTAGTAAGCATAAAGGTGTTTCAGAGGGAAAATAGCAAATTGTAAGAGAATGCAGGATTGTTTTAGTCTATATTCAAGTAAATGGAATGAATGTTGAAGGGAATATACCTTAGCGAAATACCTAGCAGGATTCTCGACACATTGGACTATTGTGGAAAGTGCATGAGCAAAATGCCCTGATGTTTCCTTATTTATTGCCTGATATGAACTCAGCTTGTATAAGTGCCGGTGTGCTTAACGTCATAATAAATAAAAAAGGGTTTAGAATACCTTTTTCAATGGATGTCCATACTTGGAGTTGTAACACTGGTTTATGGCAGCCAACTGTGATGCACTGTGTCCATTAAATATCTGCACAAAAATTTTCTCATTGGTCCCGAGTTTCTTCTCACCTGCTCGGTAGAGAAGGACGACATTGTTGTCAGCCATATCTGTATTAGTCTCGGGGCCTTCATGGCGTGGTGTGTTTAGATATGCAAGTAAAAGCTGGAGAAGGAAATGAAAAGGAAAAATAAACAAGAGAAAAAGCTGGAGAAGGAAATGAAAAGGAAAAATAAACAAGAGAAAGTGAAATGGTGCATGGTTGGGAGGAAAGAAGAAAGACCTTTTTGTGATTACCAGATGTATTTCTTTCGATATCATGATCAAGAAAAATGCCGAATTTAGCGTGGTAAATCTGCCTTAAATATTGAAGCTGTGCTGGAGTTCTGGAACAAATAACTTCGGTGGCAGCTTCAAGAACTTTGGTGACGGTGAGAGACTGCCTAAGGATGACAGCATCACGTCCGGCAGGGTCGTGCATCCAAAGGAGAACAACGTTTTCCAATTTGCCAGATAGCTCGGAAGATAATCGTTTCAGAAGATCTTCGTAATACATGGATCGGTATTCTTGTTGGAGATAGGCACATTGTACAGCATCTCTATGAGCAAGTATATTGATAACAGCGTTCGTATCACACCCAAAACCTATCAAACAAATCAATTTAACCTATTTTCTCTACAAAAGAAAAAGAAATGAATTCATGAATTAAACCTTTGAAAGCACGGTGAAGTTGCATCGCATCGTCTTTTGGGGAAGGAGGAACAGGTGGTAGAATCACCGTAGACATGATTCTTCTTTCACCCAATTGCACACAGGGGAAACATAAACAAAAAAGCGTCAAAATAACAAACGGAAACGGCGGTCGAACGGCGGTCGAAAACCTTCGGAAATGACGGTCGATGATGGTGGCTGGGAAACAACGGTGGTTGGATCGTGAGCGTGAGCGTACAGTGGCAAGGAGTGAAACGACGGTGGTTGGGTCGTGAGCGTGAGCGTAGAGTGGAAACGTCGGCCAAGGAGAATATTATACAGTGGAAATACTGAAATTTGTGAAATAAGGGTTTAACAAGCTATTACCTCGGTGGAATAGGATAACCGATGTAAGGGTTGGTTTAGTGGACAACCTATTACATCGGTGGAACCTTACAACCGATGTAAGGGTTTTGGCTTTTTTACATCGGTCCATTGTAATAACCGATGCAAGCTGATTTTATGGCTTTTTTACATCGGTTTATACTTCAACCGATGTAATAAGTTGCGAAAAAATTATTTTATTCTTTAATTTATTTTTTATATTAATATCTGTTGTGAAGATATTACATCGGTTTTTAGTCAACCGATGTAATATATTGCATGTTTTTTTTTAATATTTCTACTACCTTGTTTCTTATTTACAAAAATGCCACCGTATTTTTTTCTGAAAACTTTTTACATCGGTGGATGCGTTTGCCCGATGTAATAGGTAGCGAAATATATATTTTTCCATATTTTTTATATCATTGCAAATAAATACCTGATGTAAAAAGTTTGTTAGTTGTATTTTTTACATCATATATTTTGATACCCGATGTAAAAACCTTTTCTCAAATGTCTTTTTTTAGTAGTGTGTACAGCGCCACTTCAAAGGAGCACCATGCATCCTAATACCCAAGCTTGCCACATGTCCCTGAAAGTCAATCCAATGGCCATCACCAGCAATCCATCATGCACACTAGTCAACCATGCCATACGCAAGCGCTGAAAGTCAACATGGGCTTGGGATCAGTGGGCCAAACTGCTTTCTAAATACCTCCAAATTGGGCAGAAACCCCCCCTTTGTTTGTATCTTCTTTCTCTCATTTTTTCTCTATTATTTATTTTAATTGTTTTTCTTTTGTTTTATTTAATTCACAAAATAATTTTTATAACACAAAAAAAAATCAGAAAAGTCAAAAATAAAATATGTTTATTTATTATTTAATGCATTAATATTTTTTGTAAATAAATCTTAATAATCAAATTAGTTTAATTTTAGGTTTTCAACTTTAATGTTTTTTCTTAAATAAACTAAAAATGTATAAATTAGGGTTTTAGTATTTTTATTCTTTTTCTTAATAAATAACTTTTTATTCTTATCATTATTAATTATTAATTATTTTGTAAATAAACTTGTAATTAATTAATTAGGGTAAATTAGGTCAAAAATTTAAATATTTTCTTTAATAATTAAAAACAATTTAGAATTAGGGTTTTATTTAACTTTTAATTTTAATTAATTTTCTTTATTTTCATTAAATACCAAAAAACCAAAAAAATAACTTCTTTTCTTATTAAATAATTAATTCACTTCCAATTTCAATTTAATTTCTTTAAAGGGTCCAACACCCTCGCATACTCAATTCTAAATTCTTCTCGCGCATTTATTTTTATTTCTTTTGTGAATATAATGTATTTGCCCCAAAGCTTTGTAATAGTAATTAGGACATTTACTTTTCGCACTTTTATTCAAAATCGGGTCTTTGTTAATTTGGCGATGTATAGACCCGCGCCTTGTAATAGCGTAGGACCTTTATTTTCCGCATTTTAATTTCCGCACCTTTTAACTGCTAATCACATGAAAGAATGTATGGCCCAAATAAAATAAAAGCGTAGCTCACCCAATGCATGATCAAAGATAAAACATAATTGAAAATGATACACAATTCACACACCACTCCTAGGGTACGCCTCACTGTTGCCTTGCCCCTCGAAGCGTGGTCGTCGAGTATATGACGTCTTAGTGAGTCCTTATGTTCCATTGATCTAGTTGCCTCAAACAAGTTGCCTCGGAATAGTTGCCTCGAAACGGTTGCCTCGGAATAAAAAGATAAATGGCATAAGGGTAGCTTCTAAGGTGTCCTACTGTTGCTCTGGTGACCACACTGTCCCTACAAACTCGAATTGACCTGAACACCTCCAACGGTGGTGCTACCTACCTCTCAATGGTGGGATGGCACTACCTTAAGGACATTTACACAGCAGAATTCCTTAGGGTAGGTAGATGACTCGTAGATACTTGCTCTAATTCAAAACAAATCAAAAAAACTTCTTTTCACACCGACACTTTGCAAAAAGATTTCAAAAACAACTTTTCAAACACTCTTGAGGACTGATACAAGAGTCGATCTGAAATTTTCAAAGAAACTTTTTCAAACCCACTCACACTTTGAAAAGCAAACAAACATTTTGAAAACACAAATGAGCAAGTATCTAAGAGCCCATGGATAACCATGGATGAAAAGGGTGCTAACACCTTCCCTTTCTATAAATCTACCTCCCGAACCGAGAGCAATCTCATAAGGAATTTTTCTGTGCTTGTGTCCTTTCCATATTGGAGAAAATAAAAGACGGTGGCGACTCTTGCTTCCGTGACATTTCGCGAACCAGCGTTAAACAGTCAGTTCCAGATCCACCGATCACAACGGTCATTGAGTATAGGTCATTTTAGAGGTCATCCTCTTGTCTAAAAGATCATAGTCGCCTCGAAATGGTTGCCTCAGATATTGTTGCCTCAAACAAATGATCTAAGACATTAGGGTTACCGCTAAGGCGTCCTAACGTTACTTTAGTGACCGTATGTCCCTCATTTGAATTGACCCTCAAGCTCCAACGATGATGCTACCTACTCATTAATAGTGGGATAGCATTGTCTAAAGGAAATTAACATAGAACGATTCCTTTTTCAAGTAGGTAGATAGTTCTTAGATACTTGCTCATTTAAAACAAAACAAAATTTTCACACTTACACTCCTTTTCGAGCAAGTTTTTCAAAACACTTCATTACACTGTTGAGGATAAAAGCAAGAGTTAAATCGAAGTTTCAAACAAAAACTTTTTCAAACCCACAAGCACAAAGAAAACAATTTTGAAAACAATGAGCAAGTACCTAAGAGCCCGTGGATAACCACGGATAGAAAGGGTGCTAATACCTTCCCTTTCTATAATCTACCCCCCGTACTCAGAAATATCTCGAAAAAGGAATTTTTCTGTGCTTTTTTCCTTTCCTTGTTGGATAAAATAAAAGTCGGTGGCGACTCTTGCTTACCGCGACATTTTGCAAAAACAAACGCAAAACCCAAACCAACATTCAAAAAACAGTCAGTTCTTCCCACCGTATCATAGCCGCACCCGGGATGGGGGGCCGCCAGTGAAGATCACCCATCATAGATTCAATGCTTTGGAGGATGGTGAAGAGGAGAGAAACCTGGAAGACTGGATTTTCCCTATTATTGACGGAGGACTGAACAACTGGGAGGCAAAGGACTTTGTTCCCATTACTTTCATGAATAAGTAATTTATCTTTCAAACATTTCTGTTGGTCTGTAATAATTCTTGAACAATTTGTACACTTTTTGCCTTGTGCCTTACCCGAGGCACATAGGTCCATTTGTAAGGGTTTGATTTTTCATCTTCATATGCCATTTTAATGAATCATGGACGTTTTTACATATAAACTTTTGTGTTCATTTTCTTTCTTTTTACATTTTATTTGTTTAAAGGTGGCTATCCCTCACACACACCCACACTCACAAAATGCAGGTACCCTTCCATTCCGGATTCCATGGGTAACAATTCTGCTATGGCCTTCAGTGACTCTGAAGATCTGGTCTACCATGCCGAATACGAACGTGATGAAGACTGTGAGGTGCCAGGAGAATTGGCTAGACTGCTACAACAGGAAGAAAGGGCTATTCTGCCTCATGAGGAGCTGTTAGAGACAATCAACTTGGGTACTGACGAAGACATAAAAGAAGTCAGAGTGGGTGCCAACCTAGAGCCAAGTATCAAAGAGCGCTTAGTTCAGCTGTTGAATGAATATGTTGAGATCTTCGCCTGGTCTTATGAGGACATGCCGGGGCTTGACACAAATATTGTGGTTCACCGTCTCCCTACAAGAGAAGACTGTCCACCAATTAAACAGAAAGTCCGCCGAATGAGGCCCGACATGTCTGAGAAGATCAAAGCAGAAGTGATGAAGCAGTTCAATGTCGGATTTCTCGCTGTTACTTCCTATCCACAATGGGTTGCTAACATTGTGCCCGTGCCTAAGAAGGACGGAAAAGTGAGAATGTGCATGGATTACAGAAACTTAAACAGGGCTAGCCCTAAAGATGACTTTCCACTACCGCACATTGACATCTTGGTTGATAATACAGCTCAGCACAAGGTATTTTCTTTCATGGATGGATTTTCAAGGTACAACCAGATTAAAATGGCCCCTGAAGACATGGAGAAAACTACTTTTGTTACACAGTGGGGTACCTTCTGCTATAAAGTGATGCCATTCGGACTGAAGAATGCCGGGGCAACCTACCAACGCGCCATGGTAGCTTTGTTTCATGACATGATACATCATGAGATTGAAGTCTACGTAGACGACATGATAGCCCATTCACAGACAGAAGAAGAACACCTCGACCATCTGCAAAAGCTGTTTGTCAGGTTGAAGGAGTACAAGCTCAGACTGAACCCTAACAAGTGCACTTTCGGAGTCAGGTCCGGTAAGCTCTTGGGTTTCATAGTCAGCATCAAAGGCATCGAGGTTGATCCTTCCAAAGTCAAAGCTATACAAGAAATGCCTGCCCCTCGCACTGAGAAGGAGGTTAGAGGTTTCTTGGGACGCGTAAACTACATAGCAAGGTTCATTTCTCACCTAACATCTACCTGTAAGCCAATCTTCAAGTTGTTGAAGAAAGATCAGGTGGTTAAATAGAATGATCACTGTCAAGTTGCTTTCGATAAAATCAAGGATTATTTGCTAGAACCTCC